TATTTTACCTTCTCAAATTCCAGTTTCTTTAGTCCTCTATGACAGTAAACTGAATATCTTTGGGTTGTGGACAAAAGACATTTGAGGAGGTCACTGGGAACAGCGAGCAACATTTTGTCACAATTTTCTGACGTTTTATGGCCAAAGAACTAATGGGTTAAATGATTGACAGATTAATTAATAATACATATAATCGTTAGTTGAAGCATTACAAACAAGGCATTAACTGTGGGTTGGATTAACAATATTAACCGACTGAAACTTGACTAAGCTCTACTTTGGTGTACTTCCGGCATAATAACAATCATGCATGTTGAGTTCTTGTCACCTTACAGTTAATAATTTATTCTCTTGTGTTTTGAAACCTCTCCAATACATCTGATGCATTCAAGGGTTGTGGGAAACTCTTGCATGTATAACTACATTCACTATATAGCTTGAATTTAAGATGTTGCAGCTAATTTTGCTTGCAACTGAATTACCATGTGATGATAATGTAACTATATAGATAAAGACAGCTTCTATTCATCATGACCAATTACCTGCCTCAGACAAGTTACGAGTCTCTGTATGATTATTTTCATTTTAATGGCTTTGTGGAAGAACATAAAAAAATAAAAAAATTAAGTTGTTTTGTCTAGGTTTCTGCTATCGGAGTTAAGGCCAAATTCACATTGTGGCCTCTGTATGTGACACCCCTGAGAAGTGTGTAACTTCCAGTGTGCTAGCAGTTTTTTCTGTTTTAAACAGACTTTACTGGCACTGAACAAAGACAGTTATGACTTTACAAGCAATGACATATTGATTTACATTTCTCAACAGCAAAACGAAACCACACGGAAATTGTTTCTGTGTTCTTTGAAACTGTTCCAATCCATTATGGTTTATTAATAAAAACACATATTTAAACCATTAGGGTTTGCCACAGTTTCTATATTGAAACTATTTAGGTTAAAAAAATACCATGTACTGAACTCTATAATATCCTCAGTTTTAAAGACTGTCACTCTGTCTGCTTGCTGTACCTTGACTTTCTCCTCATAATCCCGGCGCGACTCAGACAGCAGCTCCTCCAGCTCCATGAGCGAGTCCTTGAGTGTGTCCACCTGGTACATGAGGTTGTTTTTCTCGTTATCCAGCTGGGCGTTGGACACCATGGCCTTACGATACTTCTCCTCCACCTCTGCTAATGCATCCTAAAGTCAATGTGAAATATTAAGAATATAAGAATCTAAAAAAAATCACATATATCATGTCCTCAAACACAACCGCAGAGTCATCCTTTCCTCTGTCAAATAGTATGGACAAACTGGATATGCTTGGAGCAGAGTTGTTCCGATACCAATCCTAGTATTGGAAATCAGCAAGTGGACAGGTCTGTGCACTGATCCATTACCATGTAATTATTAGCCCCAAAAAGGGATCCTGCTACTTCGTAATAGTGTCCTGTTAACAAAGTCACAGTAACCCTGCTCTGACTCCCTGAGCCAGGACATATAACAATGATAGCAATCATACAGGGTTAGTTAGTGTAAGCTTGTGAATTGGATCGGTAGTCGGTATCTGCTGATATGCAAAGTTTAGGCATCGGAATCGGTATAGGGAAGAAAAAAAATGCTATCGGAACATATCCAGTTTGGAGTAACGGATGGATGCAGCTGAGAATCCAGATAATGCAAGAAAGCATTTAAGTCACGTAAAAGTCAGGAAGTACAGGCAAACGCACACACACACACAAACCAACATGAAGAAAGACAGCGACATGCAGGTGCAACTTTGCCAGTTAAGATTGCCAGTTCGCAAGTTTACACGTTAGAAAACATCTGCACAGCTGAAAATGAATGAGAAATAAAGCCTTACTCAGGCACACAGGACTGCAGATATTCTGTCAATATTTGTGTTCAGTCTGGAGCACCAGTACTGCTCCTAAAATACTCCACAGAGTTTCTATATAAAGGCAAATCTGTTATAGTTACACAAAACATTTAATGTTTACCTAAGTTTGAATTCAAAAGCCATCAGAGTTATCAGATTATCAGTTGGTTTATTGATCTACCGTTGGGTAACATAACAGTTAATCTGGCTGCACATATTTGACCCACTGTGAGTAAGTTAGAGACACCAAATATATCAGTTAATAGTGAGTCTGGAGTTGGTAGTTGGGAGTTCTGTGAGGGTCTTTAGGGCTTATACCTTGGCTTCTTTTAGGTTCTGCGTGTACTTGGTTTCCACATCTTGAATCTGATCCTTCAGTTCGTGAATCTCCTGGTGAAGAGTGCGGCAGCAGTGAGCAGAGAAGCGCGGCAGGACAACATCAGAAGAGGTGACGCAGAAAGTTTGGTGAGCGGGTAATGACAACAGCAACACAAAGTGCAGAAAGAATGGAAATGGCATGACAGCACGGGACTTCAAAGAAGAACATTTTTTTAAGATAAACATTTCCTGAAGTCGGTCTCCCGTATATATAAACCTCTGTGTGTAACAGTAAAATCCAGTTTTTCTGGAAAGGGAGGCTTCAGCCCCTTAACGTCTTGGTTTAAAGCTCCAGTGTGTAACCTTTAGGAGGATCTAATATAGGAATTGTTGCATTTTGTTAACTTAGAATGATCCGTTTCATGTTTTTTGCTAAATGTGCAGCCACCGTAGTTTATCTTACACCTTTGGAAGAGTCAGTGGTCATTAAATGGTTGCAATCTGCAACTACACCACTAGATGCCACTAAATCCTACACACTGGACCATTAATGGAGCATGTCTGGGTCAGCATGAGTACTGAAATTTTACTGTAGACAAAAATTTTCTGTGATCCAAACTGCTGAGTATGGGCAACATAATAATCAGTTCATGGTAAATTAATCAGTTAACTATTAACTCATCGTTGAAGCTGCAACTGAATCTGATTTTAATAATCTGACTTTTTTTTTAAACCGTGTAAAATTTTTAATTGTTCATATAATGCAAACATTAGATGTATGAAATTTACATTTGTAAGCATCATCTGGCTCAAATATTCCTACAAATTCTTGTTTCTATTTTTGATACTTTTATCAAAATGATCCAATAACCCTGTACAGTACCGATACCGATAAACCCACTCCACAAGGATATTGTCCTAACTGTCCATTGGAAGCTACAACTCCTCAGCATTACCTTAATTTCTCGTATAGAGGCCTCTGCGTCTACAGTTATAGCCGTCTCGCCACTTCCTCTACGTGAGGAAGTCCCACCTAAAGACGTGAGGGTTCCTGCTGTTAAGGCAGAAGCTGGTCGAGATCCCTGATGAAGAAAAAAGAAAAAGACTTAAAATTGTGTTTTTTTGGTACTTTTTAGTATCCAATGATACTTTATGGATCTTGAAAAACAACAAACATCGCGTTTGGTGATGTGACCCACTCACCTTCTCAAGATAATCTCTGTCCTCCACCTGTTGAGACAAATAAAATACAGTCAGAGCAAACACAGATATATGATATAGAGGCCACAGGGCTGGGAGGACCAACTAAGGGAGGAAGGAAGTCCCAAAATCCTCACTACAGGCAGCTCAGCACTGATAAGAAGATTTAGACTGACATTTCCTAATGAAAAAGCAACAGATGAAACATCACTTCCAAGCACTCCAATCTTCTCTCTACTCACATGTTTCTTTAGATATGAAACACCATGCAAATAATTAGTCTGGGAGGCTTCAAAACTCCTTCAGAAATTAAAATCACCAAAACTTAACAGGCCAGAAATGAGTGTGACACAGAACTCCATTCAACAACAGATCATGTGTTAGAAATACACTTCAAACACCAGGCCACACACACGAAAAGAATCTTGTCACAAGACAAACTGGTCATCTTCACAGTCAACACACACAAATTAACCTCTGACACAAACACAGTGTGAGACCGGCCCTCCTTGTAGGGTTTGAAGTGCATGGAAAAGGAAGGACGAGTGGCATAAAACAGCAACCAAGCGGGAACTCAGCTCACATCACAGCCTCGGCGTCCTGCCGGTGCAAAGCGACTCACATCAGAAAAGTCAGGAATAGTAACATCGTCCAGGTCTCGGGGGATGCCACTGCTACTGGCCGCACTCCTCAAAAAGCTGGCAACAGAGCCGCAGTTGTCCTACATCGGCCACCAGGGGGCGAAACAGAACAACAAAGAGGCCAAACACTTAAGAGAAGGTCAATACTTTAAGATGCCCCAGCCAGTTCAAAATCCACATGGAATCATTCTCTACATCAGGACAGCAGAGAACAATCATCATTAGTGCTCAAAAACACTAAAAGGCCATTCATCTTTACTCTTAAATCTAATTCTGTTACCTCATGTTCCACTTTCCCATTATACACTTTTACACCAGCCAACAAAAAACATGATCACCTTTTTAAACCATGAGTTTGAATCTGAATTTTGAATAAGGGAGCACAATGTATCAGGTTTCTCAGTCATTGTAATTCCTTGTCAATCACTGACATAATAAAGTATGAACTTTTACCACTAAAATGCAAGATTTAGTAGGTTTATGTATTGTGTTGTAGCAAACTATTCAACTGGTGAGAAATCAGTGGACATCTAAACCAAGAACAGAATATTACGTAATACGTAAACCTCACTGTCCTGGTACAGGCTTGTGACAGATGGCTCCAATCAGCCACTGCACTGTTGCTTCGACTCAGTGAACTGGATTGATGACCACACATTCAGCAGACTTTCATCGTAACATTTCAGGCATTAATGTGATTTTCCTACGCTGAGTGACCTGCAGGGAGTTAGGGGCTTCTCTGAGCTCCAGTTCACGGCTCATTAACATTAAAAACAGAACGCTGACATTCTGTAACAGCCGTGCTATACAGGTCCACCAGGAAATACCTGCTTCTACTCTGCGTTCAGAACAAATGATGTTTGCACATTTCTGAATTCTGCAAGCCGTGCCAACTCTGAGTCACAGTAACACCCAGAGTGAACACGGTCCAATTATGCACCCAATTCCTCCAATGTAAACAGTGAATCATAAACCAAGTGTCGCAGTTTAAGTGCATGGTGGCTGTGCAGTTCAGTCATAGACTCATGTGGTAATAAAGCATCATGTATAAATGGGCTCATGCAATTTAAAACGCAAGGGTTGGTGGCAGGGTTAGAGGTCTACAAGCCCATGTGGACCCGGTCTTTTTTTCTAGACCGGACTCATTTAACCCCTCTCCTTTCATTCTGCCCAGTGTGTGTGTGTGTGTGTGTGTGTGTGTGTTGGTGTGTGGTGTGTGGTGTGTGTGTGTGTGTAGGTGTGTGTGGTGTAGGTGTGTGTGTGTGTGTGTAGGTGTGGTGTGTGTGTGTGTAGGTGTGTGTGTGTGTGTGTGGTGTGTTTGTGTGTGTGTGTGTTGTTTGTGTGTGTGTGGTGGTGTGTGTGTTGGGCTGGGGTTGAAAAATTGCAGACTTTTCCGGACCAGGGCCGGGCTATGGCTGGAGTTTTTGGCCCCTGCAGGGCTCTAAGCAGGGTGTCTGGGGAGTGAAGGCTCACCACTGGGCTGGCGCGGGCCGAACTGGCTCTGGAGGAGGCTCTGGAGCCGGAGCTGCGATAACTAGTGTACTCTAAAGGCTGCAGAGAAAACACACGGTTACGTTGCTGTCTAGACATTGGGGGCAAACACAAACAAACATGCGCATACTCACACTAACAGTACCGGTAGCAAACGCATGCTGGACAGGACCTATGCCACAATTTGGAGATCAAAAGCCGCTTAATGCAAAACATACATTTAAATTCCAACCTTAATTGTACAAAACAGAGACTATGTTTGGAACTAGAATATAAAACTAAATCAAAGTACATCAAAACTAAAACAACTCTCATGCAGCAGCAGAAAAATATCACTCCAGTCACTAAAATTAAATGTCTCGATCATGTTAGAAGAAAAGAAACGTCACACATGGCCATTACTTCACACTGAATTCAGACGCACTCACTCTTCTCATGAGTGACTGTTATAATTAGCAGTCCTGATAATTAATCCACGAACAGGAAACACTTCTCACACTCCTCATGTGCGTCAAACCAACATAGACACACTTCCATGACAATCTTACGTGAGAGGTGGAACCAGCGGCTCGCCGTGACCCAGTGCCAAGGCTGTCTTCATATAAGGAGCTCTGCACATGTGACATGTCACACACACACACACACGCACACACACACATACATACACATACACAGTGTAAACAATATGCTCAGGCTGACATTTTGGGGGATTTTATTACATGCTTTTCTACTCAATGGGGGGAAAAAAAAACACCCTTTAGTGCCTGATGTGTGGCTCCATTCAGAACTCAGTGGATTTACAATGTGATGAAGCATTTAACTGGGAGCCCTTGACTTAATAAGACAAACAGGTGTGAGTGAATGATGATTACAGGTGTGATTTAACACTGCGTGGGAGTTATAGTGGGCAATAAGGAAGCTGGACTGGAACCAACCCTACGATAGAGCTGCTGGGTGATCTGACTGAGTGACCTGTAGAACTGCAACACAGGATGAAGTCAGGAGTAAGAATGAGGTTTATGAGGCGGTAGGTTGGAACAGGTTGTGAAAACACGAGAAATTCTCTGTTCTCTTGTCCCTCTCCACAGAGAGGTGAAGGGTCAGGTAGCAGCTAAAGATAAGTGACAAAGCTAGCATTTAACTGTGTACGGACCTGGTAACCATTGAAAGCTGAACCCTGGTTTCTGGAAGAGGACAGACCATTGAAGTTGTACAAGTCAGAGGAAGCGTACGGAGCCTGAAATGAGGAAAGGGGAAGAAGGAAGCGAGAGTAATGAGCCAAGAGACGGAGGGAGATGGGAATGAGGCAAAAGGATAGGTAGTAGAAAAACATCCTTTTGAAAAAGTCACACAACTCTTCATCTAAAGCGTGACTCGCACATGTTAGCAATATATTCATACTCTGCAAGTAAACAGCAGCCAGTGAGGATCTCACACACACATGCACAAACCAATTCAACTAATCGCTCCATGATAGTTTCATATAAATGCACTTTTAACCTTTACATTTGTGCTGTCTAATGGGTCCTTCCCAGGAAAAGTCCAGTGGTGCACACACAATCAGCTCTGAGTGCAGTTAGCTTTAAATACACACAACAAGGCAATCAGCGTGCTTGCCAAAATGCCTGAACTGGAAAGATTGCTGCGTATAAAACAATGTCGCAGCAATGAGTCCACTATGACTACACATCTCCAGGATATACAGCACAAAGACTCCACAACAATGAGGAAGTCTTATAGAAATTCAACACAGAAAAGACCTAATACATGCACCTACATGTATTCTGTAGTATGACACAGTTATTAGTATCTTTACATGCCTCAGTAACAATGATATTTCAATTAAAACAATCCAAGCTTTCACAGGTTGGAAGGTTTTGATATTACAACTCATTTAGTTAATAAACACAACTTTAGACACATTAGTGATATGACTGCAGTGCAGTGCCACCCACCGGCTGCAGGTCTAATCTGGAGGCACGAGACACCCGGCTGTCATCACTTAGTCTGGAGCTCTGAGAGTCAAACACCAACACCACAGAAACTCAGTGTCATCCTCAATAACAATACAATGTGACAGCACACAGCTTTGATTCAACAACACTGAGTATCACGGTATATTGACACATAGCTATGGTCCTTACGGTGGTGTAGTTAAATATGTCAGAGGTAGAAATAACTGATTAAAGAACCAGGTTTTCAAGCAATGCTTCTTTGAATAAGATTTTACTTGATTTGTGTTGAGGAACTTCCTTTCACAAGAATGAATGAAAAAGCCTCAGCAGTGTATTCGTTTTAATTTTATATTTAGTCCTTTTTCATGTAATATTGTTATATTCAAGCTTTTAACTCAGGTTATATTGCTGCCTTCCAAAGCTTAGTCCTATTGATTTTTTCTCAAAGACAAAAAAATCCCTCTAGATTCTACTTAAAGCTTATCAAATTCTTATTCCCCTCCTGCACGCGAGCAACATTTGATCTCCTGTTTCACCCTGGCCACACTCACGCAACCTATCCAAGTTGCCAGGTAACAAAATTTCATAGCATAACACTGCAGTTTGCCACAAAACAATGAGATTATTTACGCCTCCAAAATATGTTTGTCAAAGCCAAACATTGCACTGTAGTGTGAACAGAACAGTTTGTCCTCAACACAACACAAATCACTGTACAGCTATTCATCAATAAGGATGAGACGCACCGTTAGGTCTAGTCTGGAGGAGCGAGACACTCTGCTTTCATCACTGAGTCTGGAGCTCTGACAGCATGAGAAACACGAGGGTCGTGAGTGACAGGTTGTTCATAAAAACAGATCCAATGCAAATGTCTGTGCAATCAGTTTAACACACAGCTACTGACCCTGCTGGACATTACACTGTAATCATCATCATCATAGCCGTTCCTCTGTGAACAGAGAACACGGGTGAGAAACACTGATGCCGGTTCTTGTGCGGGCCATTTGTGCATTTACAGGGTTGAGCTTTTACATACGTCTTTGTCTTTGTGCTTATGTTTCTTCTTTTTCTTTGACTTCTTAAGTGAGAGTGAGGAGGAGCCCTTAGAGTGAGAGAAAGAGAGGGAGAACAAGTGAAGGATGAAGACACGCCGTCCAGACAAACCTTTCCTCATCCCCAAAACCAGATTGACATTATTGTTTGAAAAATGGTTTATATTATTAACAGGAAGACTCAAGCAACACATAACATATACATGCACAACTGACTCTTTACACAGCGGTAAAATGCATACAAAAGCCCACAATGTTAAACTGTTTGACAAAACTAACCGATTCGGCTACGACTGAGCCAAATATCCAGGATCTCGTACACCCATGAGAATGATAAGTATGAATGATTTTTCCACATTACATAGCACAGAAGAAATTGCACTTAACATTTTGAGACACGACAGAGCTTAAAATAGTGCAGCCTGTGTTTTGGTTGGAGCTTGATAGCTCTCTAACACACAATGTTCTTTTTGTCGAAATCAAATCTGACTGACTCCAAGGTAGTCAATGTTCTTTTACCACAGCAGAAACAAGTACACGACCGAACATAATCAGCTGATATAATCACATGAAACTAACATTCATGCATTGTTTCCTGCATATTGCAACAATTAAATCAGGACAAAAACAAGTGTATCACAAACTAAAATTATAAACCATAAAAAATACTCCTGCGTACAATAAAAAGAAAATAAAACTATATAAAATCCATTTAATTCAGAGCACACAAGCATGCTTTGACTTATAGAGAGAGATAACAGGTAAACCCCACAAGAATAAGACAGATTAACTCCATGCTTTGAGCTCTCTGAACCAGCTGTTAGTCAAACAACAACTCATTCACACAACAAATGTTCAGGTTGCGGGGTTAAAATCTCATCCACAGTGTTTCCTTCATGAATGTCAACCCTTACCCCTCCACCGTAAGCCCCAACAGCGTCAAGATCCGACTGTGCAAAAGACACAACAACATCATCACCAACAAGTGCCACCCACACTGACTGCACCTTGAGTTACCAAGGACAGACACGCTGCCTCCACAAAACTAAAGTTTCCCGAGCGCAAGGTCAGATTTTTTGAAAGCAACAACTATTTAAAATTCAAGCCAAAAAAAAAAAAAAAAGAAGAGGTTTAAAGAGTCTCTGGATTTTGAATGCATGTGCTGTTTGAGTGATACTGACCCTGACACTGCCCCGGCTTCCCACTGACATCCGCTCATCGTCGTCTGAGAGCTGTGTGAGAGAGTGAGAGATTGAAATGGATGGTTAGGATTTTTGGAAAATGGTCACAATGTGTGATTTACGTCAACAATGACAGCGAACAGCCGATTATGAGGCATCCAGCTGCAGCGACACACGGTTCAATTCACAGTGTTTCCCTCATGAGAAGGTTTGGTTAAAGATCTGTTGTGTGGTTTGTTTTTTCTTGGGCAAAACCAACACAAAATTACTGTAATTTACTTCAGGGCTTTATGATACTGCACATTCTCAAATAAATGCTGGTATACAAAGAATGTTCATGATGTGTTCGCTTGGATAACTAAGGCTAGTAGCTAATAAAAGCCAGGTACAAATATTTAGAGAAGGGGGTAGGAATGTACCTGTACATAGTAAATCCAGCATAGTGAATGTTTTTTCTTTATTCAGCATTGATTCAAACAAACTTTCACTGAAACTCACCACTTACTGCTAATTTTTAACATTAAAACTTGACTTTTTTTGCACTATTGTGGAAATGTTCATTATTCTGAATTTAAGCGTTTGTATTTGCATTGACAGCTAATGTCATCAACACCAAATTAAAACAGGAACAGATCAGAAAACAGTGACAAATCTTACAGAAATAAGATAAACAATACAGGCCTGTCTATAATACAAGCCTTTTCCAAATATATGCTAAATCTATCAACCTGAAGAAAACATCAGACGCTCCCTGTGGCTCTCCAGGATTGACACTGACATCGTGTATTTCACGTAACATTTGCCAAGTGGTGGAAGATAAGATTACAGAAGAAAGACATGAGGAGATGGAAACAGAGGGAGGGCTACAAACCGTGTGTATCCGTGAAGAACGTGAGTATCTCTCACTGTCCTCCTGGATGAGGGAGGGGAGGGGTGAAGATGGAGAAGAGAGGAGATGAAGGAGGAGAGAAATGTCAAAGATCAATGAGACAGATGGAGGAGGAAGGTAACTGTCGATTTAGGGGTCAGTCTCCCCACAGTTTTAAAGGGATTAAAAATCTCTGTTTTAATGTAATTTTAGGATTATGTTGTGATATACTGTGGTTATTATGGCCAAGATATTCATACATATCTACTGAAACGTTGCTTGGTATGATATTTTGGAGCAAAAAACAAGTGCATGGATACATCACCTGCTACATTTGTACAAGGCCTGCATTCAACAAATCTAGATCATTTACAGATACTTGACAGTGAAGTACACACTTGTTTACAGAATCAAGCATGCGTGTTCTTAAAATCATCACACTGAACCAGTAATCCAGCAAACAAACCACGGAAGCACCCATGTTGCGCAAACACACTCACCTCAAATTGCAACATACAGTAAGTGAATTACTTTAGTAAGTAAAAAAACACACCGCGGTTAGTGAAATTACAAGTCACACACACACACACACACACACACACACACTGTATCCTCGTTGCTGTGTTTGCAACTCTGCGATAGTCTGGGGCAATTCAAACTAAGTAACTAAAGTGGTAAATTCAACACAGTAAATCCCATGCAGTCTCACACCAATGGGGCAGATGGTCATGTTGATTCAAAGCCAAACCGGCACCCTGCTCCTTTGAATAAGTGGATTATCATTAATGGCCAAGCTTTGATTCCTCATAATCCGTTATTTTCTAAAAAGGATTAACAGGAATTATCTGGAATTCAAAAGCAGACTCGGCACACTGCAAAAGATTCTCAACAGACGGGAATAAAAGCCTCAAAATATGCCCAGAAACACATGCATTGTATTTAGTAAACGGGAGGTGTATTTTGAGTGTTCAGCACAGAAACTGTACCATCCATTGTTCAATATCTCCCCATTTGCTGTCCCCTCGGTCATCTAATTTGGTGTCCAAGCCATAATATTTCTAAGAAGAGACAGGAAATGAGGACAAGAAAAAAAACAGCTCAGAAAAAGGAACACAGGTAACAGATTTCTATTGTTTTTGGGGCACAATATAAAGCGCACGCCTGGGATAGTTACATAACAATGAAATGAAATGATGTCCGAGGTGGAAATGAGGAAGAGGAGGCCTACCTTCTGCACCTGAAAGATCTACACACCGACATCGATGGGAGGAAGAGGAGAAAGATTGGAGGATATCAAACATAAAGACAGGAAAGGAAAAAATAAAAATGAGATGTAATAGAGACAGATATGAAATGAAAACTTTAAAAAGGCAGAATCAGCTGCGACGGATAAAGACAGAGAGCGTGCACCGAGGCAGGTTCCTGCTAATGAGAGGCTCTCAGGAATGTGAAGTGCCCCGCAGCACGGCAGGACCAATGGTAACTGACCCAAGAACACAAGTTCACTGGAGATTTGCTGAGGATCTATGAGATTGGGTTACCACGCTTTTTCCCATGGTTCCTTTAGGTTGGTATCAGTGGCAGAAAGCTGTAGAGTGCCGGTGCCACAGTGTCACTTTTAACGCCGCGTTCCCATGACTAC